CGTGGGTGAACACTCTGGCTGATGAAGGGGAGAAAGCCGCAGCAACTGGCAATATCCGCCTCCTGTATGATGTTTCACGACGCCTGAGTGGGGCAAGGATGAACCCAAGGATGCCTGTGAAAGACGCGACTGGACAGTTGCTCACCGACCCCACTGACCAGTTGAAACGTTGATTTGAGCACTTTGAACAACTTCTCGAAGTTTCAACGGTCAACCAACCATCAACATCTCGGCATGATCCGCCAAGGGTGAGGCGCGTTACTCGCGTCAACACTGAAGCTCCATCATTGCAGGAGATAGAAGCAGCCATCCGAAGTATGGGGTCGATCGCATATCAGCAGAGATGCTCAAAGCTGACTCCATGCTATCCTCACAAAAAAAAATGCGTCTTGGTAAAAGTCCCCAAGAACGGGGATCCAACTGTTTGCGAATACTGGCGAGGCATCCTGTTACTGTGTATTGTTCTCAAAGTTCTGTGTAAAGCTATCCTCAATCGGATATAGGAGAAGATCGACGACAGCAGGCAGGATTCCGTGCTGGAAGATCTTGTGTGGACCACATTGTCACGCTCCGCATCATCTTGGAGCAGGTCAATGAGTTCCAAGAGTCCCTGTACTTGGTATTCATTGACTACGAAAAAGCTAAACCATGAAAACTTGTGGGGCGCTCTGAGACGCAAGGGAGTCCCTGATAAGATCGTCAACCTAATCGAAGCGCAGTACGAGGCTTTCTCTTGTAGAGTGTTGCACAACGGAGCTTTGTCTGACCAGATTCGGGTAATCGCGGGTGTGAGGCAAGGATGTATATTATCACCGCTACTGTTCCTTATCGTAATCGACGAGATCATGGTTGGAGCCGTTGACCGTGTACCGAACCGTGGGTTGCTGTGGTAGCTTATTACTATGGAGCATCTCAATTACTTGGCTTCCAATTTCAGAAAAAGTGGGAAATACTGCCAAATTCACTTCAATATGTATATTTTCTGAATCGGGATGACGTCTAGAGACCGAAAATCGATGCCCAGCGCCATCTTGAAATCAAAGATGGCGGCTGCCGATTTAAGAAAAAGTGGGAAAAACTGTAAAATACTTTACAATATGGATATTTTCGGCTCAAAGACGACGTGCAGATGCCGAAAATTGGAATGCCGAAATGGCGTCAGCCGTCAATTTTCCGTCTATTGAAGGGTATTTGACAGTTTTTTTTAAACAGGACTGCCATCTTAAAATCCAAAATTGCGTCGGACATCGATTTTGAGCCTCTACATATCGTCCCCATTCAAAATATACCCATATTGTGAGGGTATTTAACATTACTATCCAGTTTATCTGCAACCAGAAGCTACCATCTTCGAATTTAATATGGCATCGGACAGTAATTGCTAGTCCGTAGTTACCACCGCGAATCCCAAATTACCCACATGCATGTGTATTTCCCAGTATTTCCAACTTTTCCTGTATCCTGTAGCTGCCATTTTGGATTTCTGGTCACTCATTTTCTATTTCTAGGTGTAATTCTCTAGACGTCATTCCTTTTCCAAAAATACTCATATTGAAGGGTATTTGGCTGTATTTATATCTTTTTCTGAAACCGGAAGCCGCCATCCTGGATTTCAAAATGGTGTCGGACATTGATATTCGGCATCTACATGTCGTCGCAAAGATCTATATTATTGGGTATTTGACAGTTTTTCTAAAGTCAATGGCCGCCATCTTGAGTTACAAAATGGCGTCGGACATTGTAGTTTTGTTCCAAAAATACCCACAGAGCTAAAAAAAAGTAGCGTAAATTTCCGTTACTATGATGCACATAAATGGAGCGTCATAAATCATACAAATTTACATTATAAATCGTGTAAATTTATGAGACATGTCATGCAATATTCCATATATTGTATGCAACTTTCCACCTTTGTTTGCAACATTTTTTGCAAGCTGCTAGTTAACGTGAAAAGGAAGTTTACCTGCATGAATGTTTGCATGCATGGATGTTTACATCACCAGTAAAATTCAGATTTTTTTAGTGTGCATAATGTAGGGTATTTGGCAGTTTTTCCGACTCTGAGAGCCGCCATCTTGGATTTCAAAAATGGTATCGAACATCGATTTTCGGCATCATACACGCGACCCAGTTCCGAAAATATCCATATTATAGGGTATTTGACAGTTTTTCTGAGGTCACTTGCCACCATCTTGGATTCAAAACTGGCGTCAGATTTCGATTTTCGGGATGTACGTGTAGTACTTGTTCCGAAAATACCCAAATTTGATAGTTTTTCTGAATCTGAGAGCCGCCATATTGGATTACAAAATAGTGTCAGACATATATTTTCGTCGAACCCGTTCCGTAAATACCCATATTGTAGAGTATATGACAGTTTTTCAGAATCTGAGAGCCACCATGATGGATTAAACAATGGTGTCGGACATCGATTTTCGGTCTCAAGACGTCATCCCGATTCCGGAAATATCCATATTGAAGGGTATTTAGCAGTATTTCCCACTTTTTCTGAAATTGGAAGCCACCATTTTTGATTTCAACATGGCGTTGGACAACATTTTCGGTCTCGAGACGTCATCCTGATTCCAAAAATATGCATATTGAAGGGTATTTGGCAGTATTTCCTACTTTTTCTGAAATAGGAAATACCAATATTGATGGAAATTAACATTATTTCCGGCCTTTTTTAAATCTGACCTCCGTTTTAGAATGGATGGTTTCTTGTCGTGATCCTCCTTTTTAAACGACCTATAGACTTTGTCTCAAGGAACAGAATGAGTGACATATGACTAGAATAGATAGTCGCGACTGGATGGATTCTTGATTTTGTCGTGGTGATCTTGTCGTGCGACAAGAAATTGTTGTTTGACGAGAATTTTCCAGGATGACCATTTTTTTAATGTATCTTGTCGTGCGTCAATGACAATCGTGAGAATTCCCATATCTGACCAGGTCCATTAATATTAAAGAGATTTATGGCCGAATCGCTTGTTTATCGTGTACTTTGCGAAACTTGTCGTCGTCGTCGGTTCCGGGTTTGAATGATTACAACAACTCAAGCAACGGTATGATGTAATATGAGGGGCTCAGTGGCGTTAGAGCGACCGTTTTTGATTACTGAGCAGAACATCATGAGTCAATATTAGTCAATCGCTTTACTTGTTGATATGACTACATGATAATAACAGCAATTCGGTGTTTTGAGCTCCTTTGCCTTTGCGTTTTTGCTTACTGAGCAGATGACCGTGGGTTAAATCCCAAGGTCTGATCGTTAGGACATCAATTCAGCTTATCGTTTACCAAAACGAACTCTGCTGCAAACCCAACCCTCTTACCCAACATCCCAGTGATTCCTCGTGGAAGTGCAGAGCTCGGCTTCCATCAAAGTGAGTGTCACATCAACACATTCCTACCCATTCCTTTCTTGAACTGCGTTTGGGCGCGGCCGGCGCTGGTATTGCCTAGTTTGAGATCACCAGTATTTACACATTAATGATGAATTCTCGTGCAACACGAGAAAAGGGCCTATCATTGTTGATCGATTCTCCTCATCGATTTTCTTGCATATCTTATACTGACAAATCAATGCGTTACAAACGTTACATTTGTTTAGTCTTCATTACACAAGTAACGACGACAGTCTATGAAGAATAGGAATAGCTAATCAAAACTTTATATTTCTGGTGACAGAATTCTGATCTGACTGTGCACCATCCAATAGGTCTTATAAATCTGAATAAATTCGTCAAAAATAGCTACCTTCTATCTAGTTGATCTTTCAAGTTAGAGCAAGTAAGTAACTGCCCTTTTTACCATCCAAATTTGATGATTTTTTTAAAACATCTGCTCAAATATGACTAAAACCGACAAAAAAGTTAAGTTAGTCTCACCGGTCGCGTGCTTTGAATGTTTTATTGCGAGTGCAAAGATTGTCGACTTCTACCAGTATTGGTGAGTTATTTGCCGTAAAAATTAAAGCTAATTCACTATTTTTCCATGCGAAATGTTCAAATATTGAAATTTCTCGAACGGATTTTGACAGGTTTCGACATGTTTAATAGCAAGTAAGCACGTGGTTGGTTGATCAATTTTCAATAGTTTACAAATAAAAAACCACTTTAATCTTTATAACAAACGAATCTTACATCAAATCTGAATCAAATGGTGCGAAAAGAATTGAAATCCATCCATAAATGGCCAAGTTTTTTTTCCTTGATTTGTTTTCCGTTGATTTTGTTTTCTGTACTGAATACCAATGCTATCGACGCCAGGGAGGCAGCTCCCACACCTGGACTCTACGTATCGACCTCATGGACCGGCTTTACTCCTCTTCCGAAGGAAGGCGGGATCAGAGATTTTATGCCTCAGAAAATCCCGTCGGCGCCGACTGGGATTGAACCCAGGGCCTTTGGGCTTAGCACTACACCACCTGCACCGCTAAATGGCCATGTTATAAGCGTTTAAAACCTGACACTATTTCGACACACATTTTTTTTTAGATCCATCCAAATTTCAGTTTTTCCAATCGAAAATTTATTTTACAACAAATTTCTTTTCAAGCATATTTTAAAGTTATTTACAGTGAGTGGTTTTAAATCTTCGCTTAGGCTGTTATACAGGGCTGTTGCTTTATTTCACACTGGCACCAGCGGTAAATTGAAAACGTAAACACTCACAACCACCCACGATGATTGCGATAATTAAACAATTGATCTTCAGAGACACACCACCCGGTCTCGACTGATCGGTGTACGTACCTAAAAATGAATGCTGACGTCGTAACTCGGTTGAAATTGACATCGTTGAAGAGGCGGAAGATCGAACGGCGACGACGACGACAAATGTACAAATGTCAATTTGCTAATTTGATCAATTTTTCAATTCATCCCGTTGTTGACTGTGGCTGATTATATTTATACTTATCGATATCATTCGCCATATATCCAGAATCTAGCATTTCGCTCATGTCGTTTTTTCTCTCTTTCTCTTTCCCTCTGCAGATTCATTGCATTGTTGCGGGTAAGATTCGGATAAAACCGCATGGACGCCTTTTCAACGAAACGTAAGCAGCGTTACACAACCGGTGAATTCAACTCGCCAGCCCTATATTCTAAACAAACCAAGAGAAAGCGGAACGTACTCTCGAAGCAAGAGGTAAGTGTTTGTTTTGGAATTTGGAAACTACGTCTTACGGGAAGGTACTGGGGGTAAATCGAAAATCTAAAATTGCGACCGTCACGAAAAGGTGTAAGGTTTTGAATGCTTATAACTTTGTCATTTATAGATGAACGTAGAATATATCAATCAAAAACTTGAATTTCAAATATCAATGTTTTAAACTTAATAGAAACGAGGTTTGCAAGTTTGTTTTAAATTTATTTAAAATTTAAAGCATTTTTCAAGTTCAAATCATGATAAAGAAGGCCGACTGGGCGCAGAAACATCAATCTACAGCATGACCCACTTAGTAATGGAATAACATCATTTGGGTCAATTTCGGATTGGAATTAACGGATTTGAAAACGGTTTTCACTCAAGTGCATACTATTCCTTATATTTTAAGAAAAAAATAGAAAATTCGAAGCTGCGCACAACGGTCTTGTCCACTGTTTTTTACGATTTTATCCCACCAATTTTTGATCTGAGCTGCCGTTTTGATGACTCTATCTTTCACCTTCTGTTTCCTCTTCATAACTGCCCCGTAGCTTTCAATGGGCCTGAACTGGGGACAATTGAGCGGATTGAGGGTTTTCGGAACAAACTGGACTCCGTTGTCATTGTACCATTGTTGTACAACTCGCGATATTCGGTCAAAAGGTAACCGGACCATCATGCGACTGGATGAAGGGCAGAATTCGCTTCTGTAGACATGGCCTTGTTGTCCTCTGCTGTCAGAAGAAGCTACTCGATCTATGGCCACACTTCGCCAGCCTCGTATTCTGCGAAGGGTCCGCAGGTCTTCTTCTTGTTCCTGTTGGGTTGCTTGCGACAACCATTTTCACTGGGTCGTCGTGCGGCATTCTTACGACGTGCCCAGCCCACCGCAGTCGTCCGATTTTTGCAAAGTGGACGATGGATGGTTCTTCCAGCAGCTGGTGCAATTCGTAGTTCATTCGCCTCCTCCACGTTCCGTCATCCATCTGCACTCCAGCGTAGATGGTACGCAACACCTTCCGTTCGAAACCTCCACGAGCATAGTCCAGGTCTCATGGGCGTAGAGGACCACCTGTCTAATCAGCGTCTTGTAGATAGTCAACTTCGTGCGGCGGCGAATTTTATTCGACGGAGCGTCCTCCGAAGTCCAAAATAGGCACGATTCCCTGCCATAATGCGTCTATGAATTTCTCTGCTGGTATCATTTTCAGCGGTCACCAGTGAACCCAAATACACGAACTAATCGACCACCTCGATTTCGTCACCGTCAATCTGAACTGGGGGTGGGAAGCTAACATTATCTTCCCTAAAACCTCTTCCTTTCATGTATTTTGTCTTTGATGCGTTGATGGCAAGTACAATCCGCCTAGCTTCAGCCTTCAGTCTGATGTACGTTTCCGCCATCATCGTCTCAAAGTTCCGTGCCATGATGTCGATGTCATCGGCGAAGCCAAGAAACTGGGTGGACTTCGTGAAGATTGTGCCACTCGTGTCTATCCCAGCACTTCTGATCACACCTTCTAACGCGATGTTGAATAGCAGACACGAAAGTTCATCACCTTGCCGTAACCCCCTTCGACATTCAAAGGGACTCGAGAGTGTCCCCGATACTCGAACAACGCACAACGTCGCCTTGACCAATCGCGTCAGTTTGTCCGAAAATCCGTACTCGTTCATAATCTGCCATTGCTGATCTCGATCGATAGTGTCGTATGCGGATTTGAAATCGATGAACAAATGATGGCACGTTGTATTCGCGGCATTTCTGCAGAACCGTCCGAATCGCGAAAATTTGGTCCGTGGTAGCGCGGGCACCCATGAATCCCGTCTGGTATTGCCCCACGAACTCTCTTGCAAATGGTGACAGGCGGCTGCATAGAATTAGGGAGAGTACCTTGTAGGCGGCGCCCAGCAATGTGATCGCGCGATAGTTGCAGCAATCCAACCTGTCGCCCTTTTTGTAGATTGGGCATACGACACCTTGCATCCACTCCTCCGGTAATATCTCCTCCTCCCAAATCTTGGCAATTACCCAGTGCAGCGCTCTAGCCAGTGCTTCACCACCGTATTTCAATAGCTCACTTGGTAGTTGATCTACACCCGTTGCTTTGTTGTTCTTCAGCCGACCGATCTCCTCCTCAACTTCTTGAAGATCAGGGGCCGGTAGTCTGTCGTCTTCTGCGCGTGCTCCAAGGTCTGTTGCCGTGCCACCTTCGTTTTCTGCTGCATCACCGTTGAGGTGCTCGTCATAGTACTGCTTCCACCTTTCAATCATCTCACACTCGTTCGTGAAAATGTTAACGTCCAAGTCCTTGCACATATCGGCTTGCGGCGCGGTATTTACGCGGTACAGATTTTTCATCGCCTCGCGATCTCGATCTTCCTGGTGATGTTTTGTCTGTTCCGCGCTTGTCTGTATCGCTCCACATTCAATCTCGTGCGGTGTTGCAGCATTCTCGCCCGTGCTGCATTCTTCTCCTCTACTAACAGTTTGCATTCGCCGTCAAACCAGTCATTTCTTCGGTCCGGGATTGCAGTACCTAGTGTCGCTGCAGCAGTACTACCTATTGCGGAACGGATGTCCCTCCAGGCATCTTCAAGAGAAGCTGCGCCAAGCTGCTCTTCCGTGGGTACTGCAACTTCTAGCTACTGCGCGTAGTTCTGGGCAACTCCGGCGTCCCGTAGTTGCTCAATTTATTTATTTATTTAACCACCATCTTTGACATTTTAGCCATACAAACGGTTTAAAGTGACTCAATCCTATTCTTAAAAACTGGTCTACTTATATTAAAATCAAAAACATCACACACATCATTAACCAGTCTGGGAGTCCACAGAAAGTAATAGTTGCGGAGACGGCGAGCTGGAGTGTGGAAATTGATGTTTCCGAGCAAACAACTGCAGTCAATATGATTACTAATCATGTCAAATATGAACATTCTCTGGCGATTTGTTAGTGTTTGCAGTCCAATAAGCACACATCTATGCTCGTACGGAGGTAAGCTATCTGGATTTGTCCATGGCAGACGTCATAATGCAAACTTTGTAAACTGTTTCTGGATTCTCTCGATGCGCAGTATTTACACGAACAGCATGATATGGAGCCCAAATTTGTACTCCATATTCAAGAACACTGCGGACCATAGAGCAGTACAGCGCTTTCAGGGCGTACACGTCGTTGAATTGTGCAGTATTGCGGCGCAAAAATCCTAGAATGGAGTTGGCCTTTGCAACTGTCATGGATATGTGCTCGTTAACCCGTAGTTTGCTGTCCAAGATGAGCCCAAGATCCTTAATGGCATTAACTCTTTCCAGCGGCGATTGATTCATAGAGTAATCAAAAATGATCGGAGAGTGAGAGCGGGTAAGGGCAATCACTTTGCATTTGGCAGCACTGGCTTGCATTCCATCCATCTGACACCAGGATGACAATCGCTCTATATTAGCTTGTAGTGAGCAACAATCCACGATTGATTTGATCACACGGTACAGCTTAAGATCATCCGCATATAGCAACTTACAGGAACTTAGCATATCACACACGTCGTTAATAAATAGAACGAAAATGAGAGGTCCTAGGTGACTTCCTTGTGGAACCCCCGATGGTATATGGAATACCTCGGATCTGGAATCACGTACCTTAACGAAAGCCTTCCTGGATGATAAGTATGATTTCAACCAACAAACGATCCACGGTGGAAGACCAATGCGGTTTAGCTTCATAATGGCTAGGTCGTGAGGGACTTTGTCAAAAGCCTTAGAGAAGTCGATGTAAACGGAGTCCACTTTCTGACGCTTCTTGATGCTACCTATAAGACCCAAGTAACCAAAAGTTCTGATAAAATGCTATTTATGGCTTAAGCAGCTTGGTTGGTGGTGGTCTATAGAATTCTAAGCAGCCTCATTTTTAAGTCGTAATAAGAACTTGAAAGTTCCGGTATCATAATTGAAGAGCATTCTAAGCAGCTTCTGGCGAAACTTGAACGGAACTTTTAGAAAATAAATCACCAATTCATTATTAATGTGCATTAATTTATCAGCATTAGTAGTAGAATTGGAGCTGTTTGAAGAATTAAACCAAGTCCTTCTGCGTGAGAGCCCCAGCACGAACCGCTGCGTCATCTGAGATATAATAAAGTGAGCTGTTGTCCCGCCTACTGTTGGAGCTTTCAGTGCCAGCTGAGTGACTTGAATACGAAACACAACACCTTGATGAATTTTAAATTGATGTTTATCCGCAGGGTATTCCAACACATTTGTGGTGCAGTGGTTAGCGTTCGTAGATCGCATGCCGAATACACGGGTTCGAATCCAGGAAATTACTTTTTAATTTTTTTTTTTATGTTTGGAAGAATGTTGATGCATTGCATAAATATAAGAATTATGATTTATTAAGGCCACTGATCATTTCATATTAACGTATATTCAATTTTGTTACAAATAAAGGCGGATTGCTTCATGTGGCTTGAAAGTTTTGTCGAAACTTTATTTGAACTTTATGGAACTTGAAAGTTCTGTCGGAACTTTATTTTAACTTTATGGAACTTGAAAGTTCTGTCGGGACTTTATTCGAACTTTATAGAACTTGTCGGAACTTTATTTGAACTTTATGGAACTTGAAGGTTCGGTTGGAACTTTATTTGAACTTTACGGAACTTGGAAGTGATTTTAATCGTTGAATGCGGAACTTTTGGTTATTTGGGGAGTGTTCGTGTAAGTCACCACAAACTCTGAGATTATGGGTTGAACAGCTGGATACAACTTCTCATGCAGAAGACTTTCGAGAACTTTGGCCAAGCAGTTCAGGATCGAGATAGGTCGGTAATTTTCCACTTTGTGCATGCTACCGGACTTGAAGATTGGTGTAATTGAGGCGAGCTTCCAGGCATCTGGAAAATCGCCATCCTTAAGCGATCGATTGAAAATAGACATAACGGGAGTGGCCAACGATGCTGCACAGTTCTTGACGAAACGGTGGAATACGGTCCGGGCCTGGACCT